TCCACACAGGCAGTTTCCACATCCATCTGCACAGCAAAGATTGGTAAAGTACTTATTTTATTGCATCTTAACTTTACAAAGTTGTGTGAACAGAAAAATGAAAGTACCAGTAGTAGTGGTAGCAAGTTTATGTAAAGATAGTCATGAGGATGTAGAGTATAGCATGGGGAATATAGTCAGTAGTATTGTAATAACTACGTATGATGTCAAATGGGTACTGAATTTACTGGAGTGATCACTTCATAAATTATATACATGTCTAATCACTGTGTTGTACACCTGAAACTAATATAAATTATCAACTATAATATAAATGTCAACTATAATTGAAAAAATAAAAATATAAAAATTAAAAAGGAAATATGTGTATATCGAGAAAGTGAAAGACTACCTACAGAATGGAAGAAAATGTTTGCAAATCATATCTGAAAAGTTTTCAGAATATACAATAAAATCTTATAATTCAATAAAAAGACAAATAAGCCAATTAAAAAGTGGTCGAAGGGTTTGATAGATATTTCTCCAAAGAAGATATATATGAATGGGCAATAAGCACATGAAAAGATGCTCAGCATCACTAATCGTTAGGGAAATGTAGGTCAAAACCACAATGAGATATTACTTCATGCCCACTACGATGGCTACAGTCACTAAGACAGAGAATAGCAAGAATAGGTGAGGATGTGGAGAAATTGAAACACACATAGTACTGGTAGGAATGCAAAAATGGTGCAGCCACTTTGGAAGACGGTTTAGCAGTTCCTCAAAATGTTAAACATAGAGTTACCATATGACCTAACAATTCCACTCTTGGGCATCTACCCAAGAGAAATGAAAACATACATCCACACACAAACTTGTATATGAACGCTCACAGCAGCATTATTTATAATAGACAAAAGGTGGAAACAACCCAAATGTCCATCAGCTGACGGATAAACAAAATGTGGTGTAGTCAGACAATGGAATATTATTCTGTAATAAAAAGGAAGTACTGATGCATGCCACAATACGGATGAACCTTGAAAATATTATGCTAAGTGAAAGCTAGACACAAAGGCCACATATTGTATAATACCATTTATGTGAAATGTCCAGACAAAGCAAGTCCATAGAGACAGATTAGCAGTTACCAGCAGCTGAGGGACTAGGAAGGGAGAAGGGGAGGTTGGGGTAGGGAGTGACTGCTAATAGGTACAAGGTTTCTATCTGAAGGGACAAAAATGTTCTGGAATTAGGAAGCGGCAATGGTTGTACAACCTTGTAAATATACTAAGAACACTGTACACTTTAAATGGGTAAGTTGTATCTCAATAAAGGAAGTATGTATATCATTAACTCTTTATAATTGATACAAAGAGAAATCATTAGATTTGTTGAAAGAGATGACTCTTTAGCTTCTACTAGATGTTCGTAAGCCTGTTTTTTGATTAGTGAAGGAAAAGAATCAAATTGAAGATGTATTAGGAAAGGTAGAAAATATGTCATCAAAGATTGTCTCAAAATGCAGTTATAATTGGAAATGTTATACCATTTTTTTATTCCCTAGGAACAGATGTGCCCTGTTGACAGAATAAATTCATTGTTTGACTTTTGTACTTTTGATATTAGTCACATTTTCGGAAACCAATTATGTATGGAAGTGGGGCTGTGTAAATTCTGTCATGGGAAAGCAAAAGATCACCGAGTAAACTTTTACATGGAATAATTCAGCGGGTACTAGGAGACTGCACATAATTATTTGTGTCATGGGCAAATTCTAATGCCCACGAAAAAATTAACAATGTTTGATATGTAATCAGTCTTTCATGAGTTTGGTCAGGAAAAGTCAGCCCTGGAAAACTTTTATTTTGGCTTTAACTGAATATGTAGCTAATGGTGATATAAATAATAAGGATTACCAATAATTTTTATAAAACTAAAATTCCAGAGGTGAGCGGTTGGTTTTTCGGCAGCTCAACAGTTTCTGCTAAGAGCTAGGGATAAAATGGTGGGCAATAGAGAAAGAGCCTTGTCCTCCAGAAGTTAAGTGGAGAAGAAAGACATTAAATAAACAAATGAATGAATAAAATAGTAATTAAAAGGTTCTCATTATTCACTGATTTTGTCTGTCAGTGAGACAGATTAGCAGTTACCAGCAGCTGCGGGACTGTGCAATTATACAATAATGCCAACTCATTAAAATGTATCTGTAACCTCAAAACGAATACTGGTGGCACCTTCAAGGTCACTCATGGATGTGTGCATGTGCTGAGTGGCAAAAAATTTGAGTCACCCAACATTCATGTTCCCAGCTGAGGTCAATTCAGCTCTCATGCTGTACACAAGTGTGTGTGTGTGTGTGTGTGTGTGTGTGGTCTATTTAGTGCCATGTTTTTCATATTTTTTGTGCTTTTTGTTGGTGATTTTGGTTTAAAATGGCCCCCACGCGTAGTGCCGAGGTGCTGTCCAATGTTACGAGACACTAAGATGAGCCTCGTGGAGAAGGTTTATGTGCTAGGTTTCATTGCGTTATTTAGAATGCTATTGGCCATGAGTTCAATGTTAACGAATTAATCATCTATATTAAATACAGAGCAATGGTAGGGAAGCTTAGCTCCAAGCTCCAGCAAAGGCAGACCCGCCATCCCCTTCTCCCCATGCCCAGGCAGGAACTGGCAGGAGATCAGACGTTACTTCAGTTCAAAGTAGCTCGTGAACAAAGACTGTAAAGTTGCTAAGAAACCTGCTTTTTCTGAGGGTTCACCGCGTGGTCTTTTGTTTCTCTGGCATTGTGTATGTGAATATGAGTGCACCAAGGGCCCTTGCCCTGTCAGCACTGAATCAAGTAAGACCTCAGGGTAAGAACTGCAGGCTGCCTTGGGGAATCACCATGGAGCCCAGGTATTGCCAAGCCAGGCGGCCCAGGATGAAAAAAACAGGAGGCAGCTGCCTGAGGCCAGAGGTTAGCAGAGCTGTGAGCAGCTGCAGGAAAGAAGCTTTGGATACTAAATCCTGGACCCACTTCAGCAAAAACCCTGAAGCCCTGAGGTGGGAGACACCAACGGAACCAGAGCGGGGGGTGGGGATGGAGTGTCTCACTCCCACGCTCTCTCTGAGCTTGGAAAATAAATCCTTAACAAGATCAGGGCCACCGCAAAATGCTAGATGCAAGACTTGTAGCACTATAAAAGTCCAGGCTGACCATTATCTAATTTGTTCCCCTTTTCCCATTGTCATATGGAGAACCTGAGGCCTAGGGAGGGGAAGGGACCTTTTCAAGGGCACACAGCATATAACAAATGAGGGAGCACTCTATCAGAAGAAGGTCTGTGGGCTGTGAGTGGAGGGGAAAAAGGCCAAAAGTGTAATCTGAAACTATGTTATTTAAACTATATTTGTCCATTCATTAAATACTTATTGATCCCTTACTAGGAACCTCAAAGCCCCCATCCCAGTGAAAAACATAGAAAAAGAGAATTCAAAACTGAACAAATTGCCAAGTTCTCTAAATCAGTTTCTGCTACCACCAGCATAATGCTGTAGATACCTTGGCTTCTACTACTCTTGTGGGTTTGAGAGGATGAGCAGCTAAACGGATGAGAGATGTCATGTTCCCCTGTCCTCCCACGGTCAGTGACTTTGAGGAGGCACCGAGCGCCAGTTGCCCTGGATGTTTCTCATTCTGTATGCCCTGGGTGCCTACTGTGTGCCCAGCTCCTTGGGCAAGTCATTCCCAGCTCTAGAAATCAGCGAAGGGCACATCTGATGCTTTCACTCTGCCCAGTGTAAAACACTCTAGTGATTCCTACTGCTTTTAAAATAAAGATCAGAAACTCCTTAACATGGCCTTCCGGGGTCTGGCTTCTGCCTGCCTTCTACTTCTCGTCTCCGCTTTCTCTTCCACTCTGCTCCAGCCTCACTGACCTTCGAATCTGTCATCTCCCTCCACAGCATCTTTGCATACGCCGTCTTCAACACCTGGAATGTTCTTCCCTCTCCTTTTTTTCCTAGTAAAAGAATTTAATCTTTTAAAACAAACCATCAAAATTCTTAGAAGAAAATTATCTTACTCATGGGTGGTAAAAGATATTTCAAAAAACGACGTTAAAAAAGAAAATATTGAACCTCCTTGGGCTTAAACCTGCCACAGTGGCCCATGAACAAATCCCCACTTTCAATTGATCAGCCTTCTCCAAGGGTCCACAGCGCCCTCTGGTGGGCCCTGAGTGACAGCACCAGTGGGCAGCTTATGCTCATGGTCACCTGCAGCCCCACACCAAGACTCAACCACAGGACCCTAGGTGGAGCTGGAAGCATCATCCAAAAACTTAGTTTACTGCAGAAAACTTGAGGCCTAGATAGTGGGCAGGATTTGCACAAGATCTCACCGAGCCTTGGAGAGCCGGCCAGCCAGTGCTCTTTGCACCACATGGTATTAAACAAATCCAATACTCCAAAGCATCAAAATGTTTTGGTAAGTAGGGACTTGTGGCTGATGGGTGAACATCAGACATGAGCTAAGCTTATTTCATATAGTCACTGCCCTCCTGAAACCTTTCATTTCCGGGTGTAGTCTGTAAATCCCTTTGTGGGCCACCCTGCCTAACTCGGTGAACTCATCTCTTTCTGTGCCTCCAACATAGAACATCTTCCTGCCTCAGGGGCTTTGCACCAGCTGTTCATTTTGCCTGGAACTCTCTCACCCATACTGAGCTCTTAGCTCCATACCTGCCTCTTAGCTCACGCTCCTTCAAGTTTTTCAGCTCTCACAGAGAGGCATCCCCTGACCATCCTACCTGATGTTGATTTCCACCCCAGTCTCTTAAAATATCTTGTTTTTATATCCTTCATAGCTCTATTCACATCTGGAATCATCCGTTAGCTGTCTTCCTAGAAGGAAGGCTGTTGGGAATTGTTCAGTACCCAGCGGAGGGCCTGGGTACTGAGTAGGTGCTCAGTGACTACATGGGGAATAATGAAAAGAATGGCGCATGACCAGGAATAAACCAGAGACCACGTTACAGAAAGTCTGGAGGTTTACTCAACCACAATCACAATCACAATTGTACATGTAAGTCAGTTCTTCACAAAGGCTCACTCTTCCAGGCAGGAGAAGACAGGATGGCAGTCTTGAGCTTTCTCTGTGGAATCTTGGTCTAACTTTTCGAATAGTCCCTGCCTGAAGTCCCCAACCCATCTTCAAGACCAAACAAAACAGGAGCCCGATCCTGCTGTCTCGTATGGCTGAGTCAAAGCCATTTTGGGAGAGAATGTTAAGAGGACCTTGTGACTTGGAATGTAAGTGGCAGTGAGCCTTGGCTCAAGATCAAGTTTGAACTGAAATATAACTTGGATTTTCACAAAGGGCATCAGTTAAAAGCAGAAAAAAAAATCCAGAACAGAACTGCACTCCTTGCCCCTCTCTCACACTTAGAAATCTTCAGAAAACATTAAAAATGTACTGCTTCATATGAATTATGAGATCATCCAATCTGTACAAAGTAAGGATCATTGAAGCAAGGGCTCCAGATGTCTCGGTTTCTACTGTAAAGTGCTTTGCCACTCTTGTGAGACTCCGGAGATTAGGAAAATGGAGAGACACAGAAATATGAAGCCACTTTAAAGGACATCACCTATTTCTTAAGAAGAAAAAGAAATCAACGGGTAGGAGGTTTGAAAAGTGAATATAATGTGGACTTTGGGAATGCATATGCCCCATCTTTAATAAGAACTGCTTTCTCTTCTCGACCTAATGTCACATCTACTATCAGATCTCTTCTACAGATGTAGCCCCTTCTGCCTCTGAGCTATTTTTCCCTAAAGGGGAGAACTGACAGTTTCTGGACTGTTTTAAAAGTTAAAAGCTCCAACTGGAAGCATAAGGTGGGATGGCTTTTCACACATGTGCTTGCACGTGTAGCCACCTCCAAAGGCCTTGCACTCATAGTAAAGATGCTCTTTGTAGGCCGAAATGTTTCTGGAGTCCCCCTTTGGAAAGACTGCTGGTGGTTCACACAGTCATACTTTCTAGCCACTCCTTTGTTTTGTGACTTCATGCTCAGGATAAAGGTTTTAGAGATAAAGGGGCTCACATTCTCACCCCTTACCTGGATGACAGCCTCTCTATGGGCTCCTGGCTGTTTTATTTGGGCATCAGCTGGGAGTGTGAGCAGGAACCTGAATCCTTGAGGCAGCTGGATTTCAAAAATGAGGCCAGAACAATGAGTGGACAGTATTTACAATCAGCCAGTTGGTCAGCTAAGCAATGAACTTATCTCCTTAAATCTCCTATTACACACTTTGTCAACTGCCAGCACCTGCAGATGTGGGCTTAGCAATGACAGACGTCAGAGTGCTGAGGACCTGCCTGTCCCTTGCTGAGTGTGGGAAACCGGACTCAAAAGGAGACCCAAAGGATAAGAGAGGGGAAGGCTGAGGGCTGGTTGCTGTTGCTCCTGCTTTCCACACGAGTCCTGGTCACGCCGAGAATAGCATCGCCCACTTGGAGTGGGACGACTTGGAAATCCAGCCGGTGCTCTGTACTGACTGGGGGCTGCAATGGGGGACTATAGGCATGGCTCCCAAACAGGGCCCTCTCCCAGGGGCTGCCGAGGCCCTTTTATGCCAGACTAAACGAGCTGTCCAGCTGCCCTTCTAATCTGGAGTGTCACTGACAAGAACGCTAACGGCTGGCCTCTGCCCTTGGTGGGCACCTCCACCTCGGGCCCTATTCTAGGCTCAACGTCTCCTGCTTGAAATTGGACATTAACAAACACACACTCATCCAGTAGGAACCACACACACCACCAAAAATGCCTCCCCCCTTATATTTGTCTAGCAAGGCACTAGGAAATGGTTCAAGTTTAGGGATTTGCTGTACATTTGCATTTTTTTCTTTTTAAAAGGCACAGTTTTTATTTTAATGATGCTGCATTGCTCTCCGATAATGAATCCTAACATGACTCTCCAAATAGCAACAGTCTTGTTATCCTAGATTCAGGAAGGGGCCTCATCTTTGGACTCCTTCCTGTTGAGGGCCACGTCTAAAGATCTAACACTCATTTGGAAAAGACTCTAGGGCTCGACAAGCAAGCTTTGCAAGCACAGGGGCCGCCTCTCCTGCAGACAGGTGGCCAGAGCAGGGGCTTGTGTGAGGGCAGAAGTGGAAGCGATGCTTTGCCAGCTGCATGCTTAATCAGGGGGGGCGTGGCCGGGGGTGCTTATCCCCTCAGATCACTGATGGCCTTGAGATCAGCCAGCATCTCAAAGGCAGATTCGTGGCTCTGTTCCCAGATTTATGTCTCAGTTATTTAATTGGTAAATGACACAATCGAGAGACCCAACTCTAATTGGAATACTGATTTCGAGTATTTCCTGGGCCAGCTAATGGAAGCCATAGGTTGTAGAATGAGATTTCCATTTTAGAACCAGTGGGTGGCAGGCTGGTTACAGAAATGCTTCCTATTAGTTTGGGAGCCCTCTGGGAGTCTGACACATAATTAACAAAACAAAAAGTAAACAGGCAGAACTGGCATGGAGCTGGGTATGCATCTGTTCCTGGGACATTAGGTTTTCTTCGCTGCAGCTGTGATGATGACGGGAGGTTGCAGGGCTTCAGGTCTGTGTTGAGGACCATGTCATATGAAGGCCTCTGGGAGGAGCTGATGGACCCAGTCTCCTACCTCCCCCAACACCGCCAGCCTGGGATTTCACAGACTGTCTCTAGGCTGGGGGCTGCCTTGACTGTATTGTATCTGGTTGGCTCCTTTATTCACAATATTCTAGAAATCCATATTGGATGCTAGAATACCAGAATCCTATGTGGCATTCTAGTTTGTGATCAAATTATAGAGTTCTCTATTCTAGCGTTCTCTATGAGAACTAGAATCGTGATGAGGTCAGAGGCTAGACATCTTGGCCATGGTCCACCCTGGAGGCCTCCAGACTTTGTGAGGTGAACACTTCATACCACTCTTGAGGCAGGTAATTGCCAGAAGAGAGAGAGAGCAAGCGAGAGAGCGAGAGCGAGAGAGAGAGCGAGAGAAGAGAGAGAGAGAGAGAGAGCGAGAGAGAGAGAGAGAGAGCGAGCGAGCGAGAGAGAGAAAGAGAGAGAGCAAGAGAGAGAGAGAGAGCACGCGCACGCGCACAAGAGAGCGAGCTAGCAAGCGAGAGAGAGAGAGAGCTCAAAGCAATGGAAGCACTGATGGAAATTCAGCCAGAATTTCTAGTATGGAGATTTCCTACTAAGCCTTTTCCAAGGGCCCAAGGCCATCTGAAACACGATCCTGAAAAGCTGCTGGCTGGGCTATCCTCGTGCCTGGAGGGCCCTAAAATGGGCATTTCAAGTACCCAGAGAGCACGGGGAGACATTCCGTATGACCACAGCAACAAAGGAACATCTGAGGGTCCAGCTTCTGACCCTAGGCCTGGCTGCTGGCCAGTGTTCAGTACTAAAAACTCTGAGGGCCCCAAGTATGGCCATCAGCTGCGTCACCTGGGGCTGTGACAGAGAACAGAAGCTGGACAGTAACTACAGTTACCCCCACGACAGGCAAACACTAAAAGACTAAAACCAGTGACCCCAAGAAAGACTTCTTTCCTTTTCCTCTACTGCAGTTGGGTGGCCAAAGTGCTAAAAGTGGCCCAAACAGGCAAAATTTGCCTCTTTCTAAAGACCATCACGTGTGAGCCATCTGAAGGCCAGGTGACTTTGTAGGACTCATTTTTGGGTGGCCTGTGGCTGCCCTGGTATTTCTCCTGCATATGCTCAAGGGAACATGGTGACAAAGTTGAAAAGGCCCTCCTGGATTTCCATGATGCCATCAAGGGTTAAAGCAGTCTCTGCATTCTCGTGGGGGGTCAGCTTCCACGCTGCCTCCATAACTCAGGCCTCAAGGACCAGGCAGGCACCTCGGTCCAGCGTCGAGAGCCCTCTTCGCCCCGAACAGGTTGGCCAGCACCTTTACACCATGGTGGCCGCGGAAGCCCTGCCTCTCTCGGGAGAGGAAGTCTGTAGTAAGTGCCAGGGAAGACCCTGCCATGCCTGCTGAGGGGATGTGTGGGCTCAGTTCCTATTGAATATTTCCAAGACCGTCGAGTTGGTGTGTTCGAACAGCCACTGCTGGGTGGGAGAGGAGGGATCGCAGGCGTTCATGAAGATCCTGTGGTCGCTTTCACTGCAGTCCATGCAGCTGCTGCTGACCGGATGGTACAGGGTCCTGTCCTATAAAACATGGAGATTATCAGCCAGACAGTGCTGGGGATACAAGCAAACAGCAGCAGCAGTCACAGTGAGCGGCCAGTTACTCGCAGAGCTCGGTCTGGGTCTCCTCCTGAGCAAGCAGTGAGACGTGGCCCCGCCTCCCTTGCAGCTGGTGTCGCCATGTGCCTGAGTCACGCCCACTGGAGTGTGGGCAGACAGGAAGCGTGCCACTTCCAGGCCTGGGCCCTAATTACTGCCTGTCTCCAGTCAAATTTTTTTTTTTTTAATGGACTCAGTTGCCAATGTTTAAGATTCTAGATTTCACATAAAAATTTGGATTTCTCGTTTCTCTTGAATTTTTGGAAAGTCAGGCATGGTAGGTTTGTGGAACACATGCATGAGTGAGTGGACTCTGCTGGAAGGAGTGAGGTATTATATTGCTTTCTTTCTTCTTTTCTTTTTTTTGGAAATCAATCAGGTTCCCCCCCCTCCCCCACAAATCCTGCCTTACTTTGCGGTACTTCCACAGCTGGTTGCCCTTCATGCTGTGGCAGTCATAGAGGGTGACTGGGCTGGTGTGGGAGATGGCATCAAAGCAGAACTTCTTGGTGTGCTGGGGGTCGCCAGGCCGGATGTCCTCTCTCCAGGTGAAGGTGAACACCTGTACGCACAGGGACATCATGATCGGGATGGCAAAGCTAGGGGACTTTGTTGTTGTTGTTGTTGTTGTTTTTTAATTATGGAAAATTTTAAATATACAGATTCAGAAAAAGAATATATTTACCACATCCGTTCCCATCACCCAGCTTCAACAATTACCAACTCGTGCTGAATCTTGTTAGAACTTCACCCACACTCCTCCTACATTACTTTGAGTAAGTCCTAGGCAGATCATGGTCTTGGCCAAGGCTGGCTTGCACTCTTCATTCTTCTGATAACATCTCTTAGGAATGATCCCTTGGGGACCCAACCCCCTCTCCCCCATCCTGCTCCTTCAGGTGGTGCTGACCGTTCCCCAGGCTCCAGAAGTGAGCATGTGACCCAGGCCTGATCAACATGGCTCAGGAAAGCCAACATGTGAGAGCCCCAGGGCTTCCCAGAACTACTGGAAGGGACACGCCTTCCCACTGTGGGGCTAGAAGCCTTTGCTGCTGGGGTCACATCTGCCACCACATGGGAAGAGCCAGGTTACGAATGAAGCCACAGAGAGGAAAGCAGAGTTTAGACTCTGGAGAGATTCCAGTGACATCATCTGGACTTTTCAGTGACATGAGCCAATAACTCCTTTTGTTGAAGGCCAGTTGGACCGTGTGTGCATCATCTGTAAAGGCCAGTCTGAGGGTTTTATTGCAGTGTGAAGGATTCCCCTTTCCAAGGTGTTCAGGAAGCTTTTATAACTCATCCTCTGGGCCGACTTTTGTTACTTAGCATTGGCCCATGGCCCCTCCCTTTCAGCCCTGATCACGTGAGCACTCCAGGCCACCACAGACAGTACAGAGAACCTGGCTGCCGGTCCCTGGGAGTGGCCCTTACCTGCATGTTGTTCCAGGCGGCCTCTCCGCGGCCTCGGACACAGCTCTCCAGCCTCAGCAGGGAGCCCACAGCCCCGTGCTTTGTGTCTGTACACAGTCCTGTGCCCACATTACGAATCTGGATGAGAAAGAGGGGAAGAATGGACCAGTGAGGCATCTCAAGGCACCCACTGGGACCCCAGTGGGGGCGGAAGAAGGAACCAAGGCAGAGACACTGGACGGGCTGAGCCCTGAACCTCCTAACGAGGCCTGCCTGGGCTGGCGGCAGTGCATTGAGCCCCTCGATAAAAGAATGCTCAGTCCACGGAGAGGAGCTCCACTAAACCCTGCAACGACTCAGGGTGGGTGGGGCCTGGAGGTGAGAGTTGTTGAAAGGAGGACCCCCTGGCCCCATCCCCAGAGGATGTGATCCAAGAGGTCCAGGAATCAAATTTTAACCCCATTCCAGGTGATCCAGGGACCACACCTTGAAAACTACCCTAGAAAGGACGTGACATCTTTGTTGTAGAGTCTTGGACTCTGCTAGTTAGGGCAGGTGAATGGCAGGATCCAAAGAACAACGGTGGTCTCGTGAGACGGGCGTGGTGTGCTGGGGAGAACGCACACCTGGCTGGGAGCGTGAAGGGCTAGGCTGCTCTACGGTTAGCCAGCACTTACATCGGCGGGCCACTTTGAATTGGACTTTGTCACCTGCAAATGACTCTTATGCTCCCTCTCCCTAAACCACAATATATCCACATATATGTGAGTGGGTCCTTTCAGCTCGGAGACCCAGGAGCCAGAAGCCAGCGACGGAGCGCTTCTTCCCTGGTAAGGCTGGCTGGCTGCCTCCTCTAGCAGGACCAGCTTCACGGGTGTGTGACGCCGGCGGTCACCCAGGGCCACTAGTTCAGAAGGGCCTGTGTTTGGTTTAAAGCTCTGCTGCAGCTGTCTTAAAATCTGTAATAATTTCGTCTTTGAACCTGTAAGTAAATCTGATGGGACCACAGAGCACTCCTGTGAGCAGAGGTGATACGTGCCACATGCCAGCATCCGCTGCTCCTTTCTGCAGCGCTGCACGCGGCGTCTGCGATCCCCTGAATGCACAGAATTCTGGGGGTCTCATGCGTGGGGAGTTCAGCCAGACTCAAAGCGAGCGTGCGACATCTATGGCTAAGCGAGGATGCTGGCAGGTCTGAGAGGCCACGCTTGCCCACAGAACTCGCTTTGGCTGACTGGCATTCTAAGACACAGGGAGGACCCAGGAGCTCTATTTTGTCCTTCCTTACATGTGTTACTTTTCTGGATGAGCCAGCCACCTAAGCGGCAGATGATAACACGGAAGGGAAGGGAAGCATAGGAACACCCACGGTTCCCTTTCCTTCAGCTCTTCCTCACTCACCAGGAAGCCCAAGGTGGAGAGAGTTGGCGGAAAGCATGCCCTGTTTGTAAGTAAAACAAAACCAACTGAATTCGTTTCATGCAGTGTCTCCACTGTCCTGGTAAGAAATACACGTGCATGTTCAAGGTTTGAAACACAGACGGTGAAATTTCACCAATTCTGCATATCAGTTAAACGCTGCCCTGTGTGCATGTAAAATATAAAGATGAATGGTAAACTTTATGCTAACCACTTAAAGTTTTAATTTTTCTCTACTTAGATCATTAAATAGCAGATGAAAAACCCACAATGACGAGGCTAGAGAGAGACCAGGAAAGAAAGGAGAACATGTCACATTGTATACTTTTAACGGCACTTTTCCTGTCTTGGAAATGGGGTTTGCATGTGCACTTTGCACAGGGTCCCAATTGTGTAGTTGGGCCTGCCCTCCAGACTCACCTCTCCCCAAGCGGCCGCTGGGGGCTCCACGGGCGGGTAGAATTTGGGCAGGTCCCAGGCGATCTTGGTCATAAACCACTTGAAACTCTTGCAGTTCAGGGAGCTGCGGAGCTTTTTCTGGGCGGCTACGTCCCCAGCGGAGAGGTGGCGGTACTCTGGCCGGCGCTGGTAGATGTGCTCAGCGAACTCGTCCATCCACACTTCCGCCACCCGCTTCAGGTTCTAGAGGGCGACAGCCAGGTGCAAGGTCAGGGTTTCTGAGGGGCTGAAGCCATGGGGCCAGGTGCAAAGGGTCCTGGAGGTTCAGGTCAACCTTTCTTGTGTTATGATGTATGAATGACCCTGGCCCCACCAAGGTTTGAAGCCTTCTGTGCGTCCATTTATTATTTATGCGTGTTTTAAGGCTTCTTCAAGTTATGGCTGAATAACAGATGGCTGTTGTTTTGCCTGCCAATCTTCCAGCCCCCTTTTCTAGTGAGAGCCTCCCACTGGTTATCCTTTCGGACGGCCTCTGCCTCACTGTTATCTCATGCAGCACATAGCCCAGCCTGGCTAATGGGAATACGCACAGCTCTGGACACAGGGATTGGTCAGGAGTGAGCATGTGCCCGAAGCCAAGTTAATCAGAATCCACAGGCACTAGCCCTGGAATTGTTGCTGGAACTATGGGAAGAATTGCTGTGTTGTCTGCTTGGATTGCTGGGTAAGACCTGATGGGCAAGGTACCAGCCAGAGCAGCTGGGCCACATGGAAAGTCTGTCTAAGGCTGAAGTCAACCCAGAATGAAGCAGGACTGAGAGCGAGACCGAGGAACTCATTCCTCCTTCAACGCCTGGACCCAGCCATGCCTGAAGCCAGTCCCACCTCAGGACTTTCCATTCACACGAGTCTGTAAATGCCCTTTCTGCTTACACCAATCTGAGTTGGGTTGCTGTCATTTTCAACTAAGAGTGCTGATCGAGTTGCACGGTGAACACAAATTACCACTGGTAACCGAAAGGTATAATTCCGTCAGCAGCTGGAATTTTAAATAACTTTTTTGAGGTGGGATACTTGTTGCCACGTTTATTGTGAAGCACAAGGGTAATCGGTATCAAAATGACAACCGCATTATTGGCAAGTAGGGGCAGCAGGCGAGGAACATCCTGCTTGTGAGCAGACTTAGGAGACAGAGGAAAAGTGAATTCTCCTTTGTAACTGTGATGAAAACTCCTCATTCCGTCTGCAGTGTAGACACCACCTGCTGAGAACCTCTGACAGCTGGCACAGCTTCAGGATTCTGGATAAGTTCCCTGCCCTGAAACATCTCCCATAACCCAGTGCTGTTGCCAGAAATCCCTCCAACCCCCACATTTAAGTCTCCAGGCCTTTTCTCTACCATAAACTCCCCCCACCCCACTGCAATCCAAATGTTCTTCTGAAGGGTAAAAGGGAGTCAGCTTAGGCTGTTATCAGTCATTTGCACCTCAGTGAAAATGGCTGCTCTAGAAACAGACGGTAAGGCAGAGGTCAGCAAATGTTTTCTGTAAAGGGCCAGACAGTAAATATTTTAGGTTTTGCAGACCATATGGTCTCAACTCTGATGATGCGGCTATAAAGCAGCCCTAGACACTACGTAAACGAATGGGCGAGGCTGTGTTCCAGCAGAACTTTACAGACAATGAAATTTGATTTTCATGTGCAATGAAATATTCTTTTGATTTTTTTCCCAACTATTAAAAAAAAAAAATCCTTAGCTCATGGGCCACACAAAAACAGTCTGCTGACTCCTGTGTGAGGAGGAAGGAAGCCAACAGGAGGTGGCCCCGGTACCAAAGACAGAATCGCCAACTCCTCGATTTTGTTGGCTCTGAGTGTGGCACTAGGAAACTAAGGAAATTCTTTGCCGCTGCTTTGTTCTTCCTGAGGTTGAGAGTGAGTTAGAAAACAGCTCAGGAACAGTGTCATCCCCTCTAGGCCCCTGCAGAGCAAAGGCTGGGTTTAACTTAAAACAGCGCCCAGAGGAAGCTGAGGGCCTAAAGAGCACCCCTGGCTCCAGGCTGTGCACCCAGGTCCTGTGGTTCACTGTCTATTCTGCCCGAGCCACAGGGATGAGGAACCACCGGAGGTTTCTCTCTCACCACAGGCAAGTGTGGACAATGTGACCAAGGAAAGGTGCCGGAATTCACCAGTGATATTCTTAAAAGATCAGATCACATAATATTTTAATTTTAGTTGATGTTTAAATTACTATTTTAATGAATACTGCATTTTCCGGACATGGCTTAATAATGAGCTATTTCTCCCAGATCATGAACTTTTTGTACAGTTGACTGCCTGGACCACAGTAAAAAGACTTTACATCTATTTCTATTACATCTCCCCTTCCTTGGCTCATGAAAAGGACTCTGGGATTTTTGTGGGCCGTGTGTGCCTCTTGTCCCTCCTCCACACAGCTTCCTGGTTCTGGGTCCCAGTCCCGCTGAGGCCCCCTGGTCTCCTCATGCTTGGATTACAGAGGCTTGCCTGGATCCTTGGAGTTAGTCTCCAGGTTTCTTTCACTGAGTTTGAGTGGGTTTCTGTTCCTGCTTCCTCTAAGCCCCTTTCTCAGAGGCAGAGACAAGAAGGATTTTAGCAAATTTAGTGAACCAATTGAGACTGGCTGCTTGTTCTGGAGGCAGGCAAGCTGCTGGCTGGCTCATCCTTCCTGCATTGCTCCTTCACTGCTGACAGGCTGCTTGTCCTTTTGGAGTCAGCACAACTTTAGTAAGATTTTGGTTTCCCTCTTCATCTGGGCATGGAGGATACCTCTCCTCAAATCTATCAAAATGATATTCTAGGAGATAATGCTCTAGGGGGATCCGGTTGTTAAAACACGGAACAAACATTTAAAATGTGATCTGGAACTAAATGAGAATAGTTAGATACTATGACCAAAAGTCAGAGGAGCCTGAGTCAGGCATCTGTGAGGTCCTGCACAGGTCCTGTGGGTCGCTGCTCGGATCATTAACTGGCTTAAAGGCACAGGAGACTAATTCAGTGAAAGAGATGTTAAAGTGTTCAAACACAGATAAGACATTAAAATAAATGTCCCAGTCTTGCTAATATTGGTGGTGACATGAATACTGATAATAATAATGGCAGTCACTATTTAAGGGACAAATGCTCTGTCCCAGACACTGCTCAGACCTAAGTGGGTTTGAATTCTGGCTCTAGGTACTTAATGTCTCTATGTTTCACTCATGTCTAAAATGGGGATTAAAAACAAAGTGCGAGTTAAGTGAGATAAGTATGTAAGATGCTCTGCAAGATGCCTAGCTCACAGGAGTTATGTGTTACTACAGTTAGCTATTAACCAATTGAATTCGCCTATGGTCCCATCAACAGGAGATGGTAGTGTCTCTTTACCAGGCTGATCTTATAGATGACAGCTCTGGATAGGGAAAAGATGCTTTGGGAGTGGTCCTGTTCAGGGGTCAGAGGTGTCCCCGTGGTCCTACCGTCCCTAGTGGCTGGAACAGTCGCGATTTTGGCTTACTTGGCTTTGCGCTCCTTCTCCGCGGGGCACCTTCTCTGGGATTCCCCGCCCCTCCTCCCCCGGAACATAGGATGGAGCTGTCCAAAGCCCAAACGTCTGGTGCGGCTGTCGTTGCAACCTTCGACCACTAGAGGGCATTGCAGGCTCTCTTTTGCCTTAACGCCCGCCCCAAGGCCCGGGAGCAGGCCGTCTCCGGAGACAGCTCCGCATCTTCGGATGGAGCCCGGGCAGACACACGCAGCTTCTTGGAGCCTTTCAGTCTTGTAAATAGCAAGATAGTGGCTCTTCCAGGATCCAGGGGGCTACAAGCCCGCACGTCGTCGACTGTCAGGTGATGAGGGATGGGCAGAGGAGGCTATGTGGACTGATGCCAAACAAGCTTATAAGGAGGGCTCTTGCCCCGGAGGGGTCTCCACGAGGTGGCAGGGGTGGGATGGGGTATCCTCAGGAGCAAAGCTGTGCCGGTGACCTTTTCAGCTTCCCCTAAACCTCCTCGAGGCCCTCTTTACCCTCTGGGGACACTCCCACCCCTTCGGTTTTCTTCTGTGATCACCTCGATTTTTTTCTCAAGACATTTAATAGTTTAAAATTTATTATTAAAGTTTGGTGAAATATCATTAATACGAAAAAAAAAATCCCCCAAATCTCTGGCTAACAGATTTCCATTTGTAACCAGTGGCCAATTTAATTCAAGCAATGATTAATACAAACCATTTGAAGGCATGAAATAGTTTGACACGCAGAATTTTTGGCAATAAAAGCGGGGAGGGGGTTAGGGAGAAGGGAAAGACGCTGGCACTTATTAACTGCCCCTGTGCCAGGAACTTTTAAGTACCTCGTCTCAGGCTTTCCCAAACATAACATTCCGCCTACGTTAATATTTATCTAATATGTTTCTTTAAAACGCCCCTGGTCTAACTTTGCACCTGCGTTAGCTTTAACCTAAGTAATGTCCGTGAAATCACAAGTTTGCTACACTAATCCGCATTAATTTCTAATCCACATTAATTTAAACACATGTAAACAAAAATGTTCCTATGTCTACCACCTCAAATCACCTTGTCCGTCACACTATGGGACCCCATGTCATCTCTTAATTCTATGGCAATGCTAAGAGTTGGAAAAATTAGCGTCCTTTAAACAAAGGCAGAAACGCAGGCTCAGAGGAGTTAATCAATCCCCTCAAGGTCGCAGAGCTAATAAGTGAGTAGGCAGGGCTTTAGCGAGTTCTTTTACATTGGGATTTCACCTGGAGAGTGGTGTGGGGCACAACCTCACACCTAGAGATCACTTGGCCTGGGGTCCCGGGTGGCTCAGGGAGCTTCTGCTCTGCTAAGGGCCTATGCCACCCCCTTTCCCCCAGGAAGCCGCCAGCTTACCCGGGCCAGGCTGACTCCAGCCGGGACCTTGTAGGGTACATACTTCCTGTAGATATGGCCTACCCTGGAGCAGGGGATGTCCTCCATGCGGCCCCCACACATCCAGACCTGTGGGTGAGAACGGAGAGAGATGTTATTTCTGCCTCCAATCCACTGTCCCCTCCTTGGTGCATGTATCATAGCATTAGCCCCATTCGCAGAACTAGGAACAGAAGAAAACACAGAAATGACAACAGTAGTAAAAATAGCTGTGACAGCACTGAGTGCTTACTCATTGCCAAACACTGTGCTACGAGCTTCACATGCACGACTGCATTTAAGCCTTGTCAAAGTAGATAGTGCTAGAACCCAACTTTACAGATGAAGAAAATGAGGCTCAGAGAAGCCAAGAAGCTTGTCTGACTGAAGTCACGGGCTTAATAAGTGGTGGAGCCAGAATTTAACTCGGCTTTAGTTGACTCCAGAGTCTGAGCTCTAAACGCTGAGGATGCTTGCACTGCCGGGTTGAGAAGAATTCTAAGGTGGCGTCGGGGGCTCAGTGGGAAAGACCGGGTGATCACTTAGTGATGTCTGCCACAGAAACGAGAGGGGATAGGCGTTGCACAGACTCTGTATACTTACTGACTGTGGCATTGGATTCTGGAGTTTCCTCCTGCATCTGCAAGCCCCTTGCTGGGGCACCCTGAGCAGTGGCAGCGGGCTCCCGGCCTGACTTCTCTGCAGTCTGGCCGCTAAGCCTCGCAGCTGAGGACCTGATGTTTCTCCTTGTGTCTCCCTCCATCACACAGAGCTCCTGAGTTTGACTTCCTGGTCTGACAGCAACTGGGGAATTCTTAATATGTACAACCAACACTGACTCACACCCACTGAGGCACCCAGCCTAAGTAGACCCCCCTCAGCAGTCCTGGGTTCAAATCCTGCCTTATCCACTTACCGGCTTTGTGACTTTGTTCAAGGCACTTCACATCTCTGAGGCTCAGTTTCTTTATCTGTAAAGGATTGAATGAGGCTGGGTCTGGGTATGTAAAGTGCTTAGCACAAGACTTGGCACACAGTCACAGCAGCGTTACATGCCACAATGATTAAGTCACACATTTGACTAATATTTATGGAGTTTCTGCTACATGCCAAACATTGTGCTGGGCACATACAGTGGTGAATAAGTCAGCCAAAGCTCTGATTCTCATGAAGTGGGGAGTGTGATGACCAGACTCCAAGATGGCCCCCCGTAATCCTTGCCTCCTCGTATTTGCACCCTTATGTAATTCACTCCCAAATGAGTCACATGAGGACTGACCTGTGTAACCAGTAGGATACTGCAAAAATGATAAGGTTTCTGCCTTACTCCCTGGGATTACTTGCTTGGGGGCTGCCAGCTGCCATGTTGTGAGGACACTCAAGCAACCCTGTGGAGAGGGCCAGGTGGTGAGGAGCTGAGGCCTACTGCTAACAGTGCTAACTTGCCAGCTATGTGGATAAGCCATCTGAGAAGCAGATCCTCCAGTCCCAGTCAAGTCTTCGTATGACTGCAGCCCTGGCTGATACCCTGATGGCAACCTTATGACAGACTCAGGTAGAACTATCCTGCTAAGCCCCTCCCAAATCCCTGACCCACACGAACTTTGAGAGGATACCTGATTATCACTGTTTTAAGATGCTATATTTTGGGGGTAAGTTTTCCCTGTGGCAGTAGGTAACTAATACAGGGAGACAGTGTCAGAGGGTGACGTGTGCTATAAGGAAGCCAAAGGGAGGTCAGTGTATGGATGACTCAGTGTATGGACGTGTGGGCTGCTATGTCACCCATGCCTGTCAGGGAAAGCCTCACTTTGAAGGGAACATTTGAGGTGAGACTTAAATGATGAGAAGGTAAAAGTAACAAAGACATGAGGAGTGAGAGAACAGGTAGGGAGAAGAGCAAGTGCAAAGGCCCTGGGGCAGGGCCAGGCTTGGCATAATCACTGAACAAAGCCAGACAGAGGCCTGGAGCAGAGGGAGGAGTGCCAGGAGGGGAGGCCAGAGAGGTGAGTGGGGACAATCATAAGGGTCTCCTAGAGCAGATCTTCACGGAGTCGTCACTGAGGGAGAAAATATAATCCGATTTCGCTTTTACAAAGATGACTCTGTCTGTGGAGTGCAGAAGGAACGGTGTAGGCTTGTGAGAGGGAAGGCCTGGTGGGCTCCTGCAGGTATGAGGCAGTCATGGCTTTGGCTTGTGCTTCATGGTTTCAGTCATGGTTTGTGGGGCTGTGGTGGTAGGACACAGCTGGATTCAGGACATTATTATTAATCTTGTTTTCACACGTCCTCACTGTGGAGTGAGTAGTAGGAGCGGGAACATCTACATGCCAAGTCTGCAAAGGAGCTTTTTTTCAGTTTGAACTGCTCAGTGGGATCCTGGAGATTCGGGGCTCTAGAAGGGCCACTCTTCTTTCTACTTCGTGCACTTGAGGGGCCTCAGTCCCCCAGGAACCCCTGCCAGCCACTCTCTCCATCCTACCCCAGATGTACCCTGTCCTGGGCTTCCTGCAAGGGGATATGTGTGTATGGGCTGCAATTAATGGAAGTGCTGCCTGGAGAAATGCAATTATATTCTGATCTTGGGGGAGAAAAAAATCGAGTAAGTCAATAGAACAGAACATTGGTCTCAAGATAATGGGCTCCTGATGGTAGATTAATGTCAAGGCCAAGCCAAGAAGTTTATTTTCAAAGCAGGAGATATTGATCAGGCGCCAGGATCCCATAACAATAACTCTTCCTTTATGCAAAATGACTGATGTGGAAGTGATGCTTTTGTCTCGCAGATTCTGCCCACAATGCGGCTGGGCTGCTCCTGCCTTTTGGGCAGGTGGAGCGGCACTGAGTAGGTTGGGGGCACCTTACCCTGCTCTATTTTTGAATGTCTCCTGGGCAGTTGGCTAGGCTGGCATCCAGCTCTCTTGACTCCATATTAAACTCACATTAGCTAACGAGGCTGCGTCTCTAGCTCTGCCTGGCAAGGAACCTTCCTTAATGCAGACAGATGATCAATTTCCAAATCCTTCTCTTTGCTGTGACCTCGGGTTTCTTTGGCCCTGACCATGCTGGCCATCAGCCTGAAGGTTCCTGAGGGACCAGGGTGACCTTGATCTGCTGAGAGGTTTGAAGCATTCAAATGCTCTCAGATTCCTGGGCGGCCCAGAGCCCAGAGGAGTCCTTGCTTTGGACGATGGGTTTACTCCACGGCTTCCCTGCCCTGGTATGTTTCACTGACGGCTGACTCAGAATGTGAACTGCCTTCAGAGAGAAAGACACCTGTTCAGAGAAAGCTGTTGCCAACTCCTGAGTCCTTTGGGAGCAGCTGAACGGCCTGAGAAGGGCCCAGTGCATGGCACACCCCTCTCCAGAATGCCCTCTGCCACCCAGAATGCCTCTCACACAGTGGTCAACACCTCCATGGTATTTGCCGGTTATCTGGCAGGATCCCAAGAGTGGAGGGGGCTCTCTTTCCAAGGACATGATAAAGGCTGGAGGCACAGAATGGTGTCACGACTTGCCCTGGGCTGGCAAGCTGGCCCTGGATCCCAGGTCCCAAGGTTCTGCTCATGGTCCAGGTCACCTATCTGTGTACCTTTAGGGCCCTCCTCCTCTTCCGTTACAGGTGAGGCAGCAGCCACTCATGACCCACGGGGGTAATGAGCACACACCACTCTCCAGCCTCAACACCACTTTGTACAGCTGTGTGACCTCGCACAAGGCATTCACCTGGGGATGACAGTCACTGTGACCTCACAAGCCGCTGAGATGGCAGGAGACAACCCGTAAAAGTGTTTAATTTGATGCCTGACAATAGTGATCCTGATTAATATCAGTCATTTCTATTTGCAAACGGATGAGAAATGCCACCACCTTGAAATTATACAGTGTTTGCCCTTTGGCCCAACACCATCACGTTTTTTTATCTTATGGTCCAATTTCCCAAATGCAGAAACGGCGGCTCAGAGAGAGAAAGTAGTTTTTCCTGACTTGGTGGAAGAACCTGCAAATGACGAGAATGACAGAGCCAGGTGGGGCGGGCACAGTCATGGAGCATTGCCTGGGGCCCAGCCCAAGGGTGTCCTCCTCTTCCCCAAGTAACACGCTGGCAGAAGAGTCCAGCTGGTGGCAGAGAACGGGGAGCTGCAGTGCTGGCAGCAGCCAGAATCGTGTTTGGCCGGGACCCTGCAATATCTGGATGGAGGCAGCTACGGGCCACTGAGAGGACATTTTCGCAGACCCTCTCTGCTTTCAGCTTTCTCTCCTCCCTCCCTGTCCAGCCCCGTCCCAGCCCCCACCCCACCTGCGCCGGCTCCGGGAGCCCTGTTCCACCATGAGTTTCCACATAACCTGTCTTCTCACTGGAAGCGCCGTGCCACTAGACAAGTACAAATCTAATTGGAAAAGCTAGCTCCCCATTCGTTTTCATTGCTGCTTTGATTTATTTTATTAGCAACCTTCTTTTGTGTGATGACAGGTTTCATTACAGTGTCTATAAAGACAATTACTTGCTCTTATCTCCCAAACAGAGGAGGAAACAGACGAGTGGTGATACGCATCAGGGAGACACAATGGGACCCGAAGATAGAGTGGCGGAAGGGCCAGTCCCAAGCTGGAAACGTGAGTGGGCAGGGGCTGGGGCGGAACCTCTCTGTCAGGAAAATGGCTGCCTGGAAACCAACCAGGAATGGGGCGGCCGTCCTACCTGCCCACGGCTGCCAGGGAGAAGACGGCAGTCGGCCACGTCTTCTGTCACTGGCATCTCCGCTGAGGACCCCTGTGGAGCTCAAGCCCTATTCAGTTGCACTTTGGGGAAATACGATGATGGCAACTGCCACCAATTATTTCGCGTTATCTGTGTGCACAAGAGGGACACGGGGTTGCAGTTATGAGCTGGGTTCTGGAGTTAGACAGAATCGAGGTCTAATCCAGGCTCCTAAGCACATTTCAGGAGTCTGAAAGCTTCAGTTTCCTCATCTGCAAAATGGGATGAATTACTGTGCATACCTCCTAGGGTTGTGAAGAGGCTGGAATGAGGTAATTCTGAAGCACAGAGTACTGGGAACTATCCAAATGGTGTTACTTGGACATAT